GATATGCACAGTGAACGAGTCCACACGCGTATCCTATAGGGGGCAAGAGTCTCTTTTTGTAGAAAAAAGTGTGCCCATTATATTTATCCCACACAGGTCCTTTTTTGAGGTGGGGGTATATCTCACAAAACACTATCTCCCCCGGCGTGACACAACCACAGCGATATAGTGTATATATATATATATTTACATATATGTATATATATATATATATATATATATATATATATATATATATATATATATATATATATATATATATATATATTTTTTTTTTTTTTACGCCGGATGCGTTTCTTGGCGGGGCCCAGTCCTCCCAGCTAACGGAATGGCGCAGAGTGAGTGAAGCCATATGTAGTCTGGTCCAAAAATTGCAGCGAATTTCGAACTCGTATTTAGACACAAGGAAGAGCTCAAAATAGCAACTCACTCCTTGTCAGCTATTACCACAAATACATCCTTCAGTGACCATTTTCGTCTCTCGTTTTTGGACGAAGGATTGATTACAGCTTTCCCTGTGTCAGCTGGGCGGTAACCAATCACTATCTCTCTTCTTTGTCGAGCACGTAATAGTATTTCATAGAAACTCAATTCTTCATCTTCGTGAATATAAAGATTCGCTCCTCTTATGTGCAACTCATTGCCCTGTAAGGTGTAACGAGTCTCGGTGATTTGGGGGGAGATTTTTTTTATAAGATAGTTAGGCACATGTTGCAAATGCACCAAAAAAAAAAAATTAATTACCTCTTCAGCAAAAAGTTCTTCTAGTACATCGTTTATCTGGCGATCTTCTGCAACCATGGCCAGTGCCATGCTGACAAGCTCGTTCGACAAAACATAATCGCTAATCTTTGACATGGATAATAGATTTTTAGTCCTTGGGTCGAGAATTTCACTGATTATGACTGATTTATCCGAAGCCTGCTGCATTTCCCCCATCCACGACCCTTGTGAAACCAAAGCTTCTCTGTATGGTAGTCGTTTTGCCTGCAAAACCAAAAATTATGTCTTTAACTAATATTTGGAACAATTAGGTCGATGCCAAAAAAAAAAAAAACTCAAAAGATATTTAAGTAAATTGGCACCGTGGGACAAAGGTAGAGTGACCTTGTAGTTAATATAACAAAGTTCATCCGAAATTTATGGTGTGGCTATCGTATTCATATAGCTTATAAAAAGGGTAAAAATGTAAAACAGTCCAAGAAAGTTCAGAGCACTGAGCATATATATATGCAAGATTGCATGCAATAAAATGAGGAAAAAAAACCATCTAATTATTGTACCTGAATGTCACGTATTAGTAGTAACGTTGCAAGAGATCTGGAATCAGCCTGAATTGCTGAATCTTCCACCGATTCATCGGCCAAGATTAATATCTGCATTGCAAAAAACAACATTATACAAAAGAAATATACATATATACAAGAAACACGAATATGGATTTAAGATTGTTATATATGACCCTTTTACGGTATTCATAGTTTCACCAGTTCAAGCTATCTTAAAAGCATTTTCCATCAACAGGTTTCAGATAAATTGCTGCTTTACCGAATCAAAAGATTCCAATGGAAGGCTTTCAAGGTGACGCCTTATGACAGCATTTCCTTCTCGATTAATGAGCTTAATATTGACCAAACGGTCGATGTCAAGTCCACCATCTTCAAGCTTTCTCTCTCTTTCATTCTCAGCAACTTCATTGAACATCCACAGCTCCGACCCTTCTGCTAAAAAAGCATCCAGTACCTAAAAAAAAAGCACATTCAAGAAAGTTCATTCTGATGCCGAAAAGACAACGTGCAGCAAAATTTGGAAGGAATTGAAAACGAAATAAGTCGGATTCGATATTCATTGAAAGACCACAGGCACGCATGGTAGTGACCGAAGAGGGTTATCTGAACAGTCTTTGGAAGCATTGTTCACCATTTTCGTACAAAATTACCGTTATTATATCTTCCATATCTCTCCTCCAACCGCATAGAAGTATCTTCTCGAAAGACTTGTGAACTAGTTCGTCTTTGGGTAAACTTCCTGTCCAAACCTGCATCAACCAGTTGAAGAGGAAGAGGAATTAGGGGCTCGGAATTACCACAATCATATCATCAATGTCTCTCCTCCATCCACAAAGTAGAATCTTCTGAGGCTTTCTTGTCGGTCGGGTAATGTGTATGAATTTGGCATCTTTGACCTGAATAACGAAATTTAATTTTGTGTCTGTAAGTTTGGTTCATGGTATGCCCCACTCAATTGAACTCCATGGTAGGAACGAACCTACACCATTTCTTTCAACAGTGGACAGCCCACCCTCTAACCTCTTTTTTTTCGTTTTCTTCGTTTTGGTCAACTTAATTCGGTTACACTTCCTTTCCGAAGGAACCTAACTTACGCAAGCTCGTCCTTTGAATGAAAGATAATTAAATGAAATCATCGATGCCGAAGCTCATACTAACTATTTACATCATCTTGGAGTTATTTCGACGTGTTGTTACTTAACAAAGAGATGGCTTTCTCGTTTGGCGCAAGAACCAACAAAAAATAAAACCTCTAACATAAGATAACTAACATGGGTTACTTATGCAGAAGCAGAACTTCTAACATCTTATCAAGGAAAATAAAATAAAAGAAAAGAAAAGAAAAGCACCATGGGAATATCCGATGGAGCATAGCTGTCATCATCCTCCGCAATAACAAGAATCTCGTCTCCTTCTTGCAGAACATAACTGTCTTCGGGATTTAGAATAATTTTTCCACCGTGTGATGCTACCTTCACCCCACAAGGAATGGCCTCCGGGAAGCTAATCAACACATCCTCGGAATTGCATTCCATACAACTTCGGCCACCTTTTAAAATAAAACTCGCAATTTTCAAACCCAAGAATGTCTTCCCATATCTGCACTGCCAATTCCATAGAATATAATAAATAAATAAACAGCACAAAAGCTGAAGAAAAGTTATAAAAAGCTGACCTGAGCAAGGCCTGGCTGACGAGCACATTGAATCATCAGCCTACCGATTACATCGTGAGCAACAACAGTTTCAACGAGATCCCCACCGACAAGTTTCACAAGGACTTCGTTATCAAGATCGCTTAATTCAACTACAATGTGTCCATTCAATCCTTCTTTCACTCCTGTTAGGCTTAAGACCGTCCTTAATGCACGGGCATCACTCTGCATCCACAACAAAAATCGACATAGTTAACTAACTATTATCGCTCAATGTTGAGATGCTCTGAGTCCTCTTTTTCACTAACCTGGTCAGCATTTCCATCGTCGGCAAGGACAATTATTGCTCGAGCTTTTGAAACGGATACCTAGGAGACCTCTTCCGGTTAGTGTATTACAACAAATATATAATTCCTTTTTTGGTATATCATAAAACAAAAAAGAATTACACACAGCAAAAAAGAAGGAAAGAAATCCTAACACCGTACCTTTTTCAGGTCAGCTAATATCAGAGGGCTCCCACTTCTGCATATGACAGATGTTCCTCTGAAGTCAAACTCCATTTTACCAATGTCGAGCTCCATATCTTCTTTGTCTCGTTCAGCCATGACGACCACTATTCCTCCACCCATACTCTCATTAGCTATGGCAAGTTGATTCAGTAACGATCCCTGGAAAATAAGACAAACTGCCAGTCAATATAGTGATGTTTGTACTTGCACAAAAGACGATAAATTAAAAACCTACCAACTTATTACTCCACCCAAGTATAAGAGTGTGGTTTTTTTCAACAACTTCACTTCTTCCCTTCCGCAGAGAGTCGAACTTTTCAGAAATCGCATCGGAAACAAGTCCAAGCATCATGGCAAATATAAGCATCCCACCAAAACTAATCGAAACCGACACTAGTCTCGGACCGAGTCCTTCGGAATTGGCATGATTACCCGAGTCTGCTACGTACGTCCATGACAACCAAAGGGAATCGGCTAAACTGCCATCTGTCACGCCGAAAAGTGACAACCCACCGACACATATCAACAACAGAGTAGCAACTAACAGTGCTAGAGGCTTAGCATATGGGGTAACTGATAAAAAAACGTCAACCTTATATGCTAGCTGCTTATTCAAAGAGATTTCCTCCGTAGTATTGTCGAACAATCTTCTCGACTTTGAGACGTAGTTGACATACTTGACGACAAAGAAAGGGAGGGATAAAAATGTGATCGAAATAGCTAATGCTGCAATTTTTAGACTCTTGCTAGAAAAATTGTCGACAGAAACATCCTGTGGTGACAAATCGCCCATATCTATAGAGTCCGACAGATTGCAAAGTTTGAGTTTCACATTGAGCTTGGAAATTCGGTCCTGCATAACAGAAGTAAAAGAATAATCGGACATGCGGCGAAAAGCACGATGAAGTTGTTATAAGGTCAACTAGTACTGCAAACATCTATACTCGACAAATTGTTTTCGGAAAAAACTTCGACCCGTGATGCCATCATTTCTTCAACTAAATCAACTTACGGATCAAATGAAAGTAGTAATATTATCCTCGGAAATCAACACAAATGCTTATAAACATTTCTCCATCCAGAGTCCAAACCCTAATGGCAAAAAACGAAAAAAAAATCGAAACAACGAAGTACAAACAGCAACTGCTCTTAAGCAATTCATGGATTACCAAATTAGTTTGAACATGCATTACATTACTACAATCTCCATTGTCACTAAATCCACTATATGGAGAAATATCTCTCCAACGAGATCGAAAGAGATATTCGAGACAATCGTACAGGATCATCATTCATCATTGATCATACCTGTAATTCAGTGACCTCATTGTGTAAGGAAAAATTCTTATGTACCAGTGAAGATAACACCGTTATCAGTATCTGCAAGGCGAGAGAAACCAAAACCACAATCAGAAAGATTAACACAGAAACGCACACAGAGTAAACGAAGAGAAACTGACCGCAACGGTAAAAGCAAGCTGCCACCGAACTCTTAACCAGCTTCGCAAAACCCCCAAAAATGTTCCCTCCGACGACGTCGTTTTCCTTTCCTTAATGCCGCGTTTCTCCGACGTAACGGCTTCGTTTGACTTTGAATTAACCCCTGCGCTTCCGCCTCCGTCTATACCGTCATCCAGCAGCGTCGTTGACTTGTCGTGGTTCCCAAATTCAAAACGCCCCGGCGTTGACCTGGAAACGGAACTGCTAACGGCGTTGGAATCATTGCCAGCTGCTCGCGGATGAAACGACGCCGTGGGGTTGAATTGCTGCGGCGGGGGTTGGTATGAGGAGAATCTTCTTCTTCTGGGGGTTCTGTGGATATTATGCGGCGAGTGAACGAAGGTGTACGAAGGAAAAATCCAGTCTCTGGTGGTGGCGTCCGCCGCCGAGGCGGACGTCGACGGCGACGAGGCGTCGGAGTTGAAGGACATTTTTGGAATTCTACGACGACGGGAGGGGTAAAATTGTAAAAGCCATTTGTTTTCTCATAAATGAAGTTGACGATTCCTTCCGATTTCCACGCGGAAAAAAACAAAATCAATTTCTGGAATAAGCAGTTTATTTAAATCCAATTTTCAAAATTTCAAAATTGGAATTAGATTTTCACGTAACGGGCCGAGAGAAGAAAATCAAAAGCCCAATATAGAGCCATCGGCCCGGCCCAACTATACATACAACGAAAGAAAACATACAGCAGTTCTTCGATCCCTCCATCTTCTGTAAGTTTTTAGCTCAACACACCACTTTCTCGAAGAACCCTAGGCTAGGGTTTTACAGCCTCTGAATCGAAGGTAACATTGTAACTAATTTCATCATCGTATACTCCTGTAGAGTATCTTCTGCTTTGTAATTTCCATGATGCCGATTTTGGATTTGTCTTAAGTTCGATTTAGATTGTTCTTATTTTCACGTTTTGCTATGCTTTTTCAATAGCTGGAAGCTGATTTTCTGGTACGGTTGTTCTGGATTTTTATTTGGGTTGGGGTTTAATCTGGATTTAGTTTTTTATGTATTTGATTCCAGTGTTTAATTTTCTTTCTAAGTTGTTGAATTGGATTTTGGGATATTTGACTTGAAGCAGTTGCTTCTGAGGTTTTGTTGGAATGTTACCTTTCCAGATCTTCGATCGAGAGTCGAAACAGTAAAAATCGATGAAAAATCAGTTATTGAATGTTATATAGTATACTAGGACTTTTTCCATGGGAAAATATGTTGGGCTAGTTGGAGTAGGCTCTTGAAGAAAAGTTCTTCGGTTGACATGTATTCTGAAGGGTTTTAGTGTAAAGTAGCTATACACGTGCAAATCGCTATATGCCTATACGTATTGAATTTACTTTGCTGTCAATTGGATTGTGAAAATCCATATGCATCAATTTCATTTTCTGCTTACCGTTGAGTGTATTATAAACTCTGTAATTAGACATTTACTTTAGAAATTTAAAAAAATGTCACTGAATGAGTATGGTTTTTACAGAGTTTATATATCATGTTTGAGCTTGATGGAATCCTTTATTCTATATGCATGCAGGGTTCAAGTTGGCGAAGATCTTTTAATCCAATACCGAATCGATAGTAAACCAGAAGCAAACATGCAGGTGGAAAGTGCTCTATCAGTAGTTGGCCCAAAGCCAACAGAGCTGTCAACTGTCACACACGGCTTCGCCCCACCAGGAGCAAATGCAAAGCAGCGAACGTCAAGCTTAGAGGCACCAATCATGTTGCTGTCGGGCCATCAAAGTGCAGTCTACACAATGAAATTCAATCCCGCAGGAACCGTAATAGCATCTGGCTCGCACGATAGGGATATCTTTCTCTGGAATGTGAACAGCGATTGCAAGAATTTCATGGTCTTGAGAGGGCACAAGAACGCTGTACTGGACCTCCAATGGAACACAGACGGATCACAAATAATATCAACGAGCCCAGATAAAACACTAAGAGCATGGGATGTTGAGACAGGCAAACAGATCAAGAAGATGATTGGTCACTTGTTTGTCGTGAATTCTTGCTGTCCTGCCCGAAGGGGCCCACCCCTTATTGTCAGTGGGTCCGATGATGGAACTGCAAAGCTTTGGGATATGCGTCAAAGGGGCTCCATACAGAGTTTTCCAGACAAGTACCAGATTACAGCTGTTGGTTTCTCTGATGCGTCGGACAAGATTTACACTGGCGGCATTGACAACGATGTGAAGGTGTGGGATTTACGAAGGACTGAGCCTGTGATGAAGCTTCAAGGTCATCATGATATGATTACCGGTATGCAGTTGAGCCCAGACGGGTCCTACCTTCTAACCAACAGCATGGATTGCACTCTTCGGATATGGGATATGAGACCATATGCACCGCAGAACCGATGTGTGAAGATTCTAGAAGGGCATCAGCACAACTTTGAGAAGAATTTGCTAAGGTGTAGTTGGTCGCCCGATGGAAGCAAAGTGACAGCTGGCAGTAGTGACTGCATGGTCTATGTATGGGACACTACTTCACGGAGAATATTGTATAAGCTTCCGGGTCATACTGGATCTGTTAATGAGTGTGTCTTTCATCCCAACGAACCTATTATTGGGTCATGCAGCAGCGACAAGCAGATATATCTTGGTGAAATTTAAGTAAAAAATGGCGATTTTTCTAATCTTATCGTTTATGGTGGTGAAATGATGCTAGTAGCTAGATGTTAAGAACTATTCGTGGACAAATTCATATATTGTAGGGTTGTGGGGGTTTCTTGGTTAAATGCTGGATTGTTGGCGTTTATAGACACGCACTGTCTGGATTTGATTAGATCGTCTGATCTGTTTTAAGCGTGTATTTGAACGCTGAGAATCGCT